CTTAACCACCACCACAACAACAACCAAGAGTGGCCAACCTGGCCAAAAAATTTACATGTCACAAAAAAGGTCATGAATTTTTAAATGTCATATTATTACTAGAATGAATGCTGATTTGAATCATCATTTACATACGAAATCTTTATCTATTCATTTTTGTCTTTCAAAAGGTAGAATATTACTTTTAATTGTAGTAGGTAACCAACTCATAATCTCCTTCGACCCACATTTATTTCAACTGTCATAGAAAAAAATCAGACTGTCTGAACTCAAATCCCAGTTCCATCTGTGTGGCCTAGCACAGATTATTTAATGTCTCTATGCTTCAACTTCCTTATCTAAAAAAATGGGAATAACAGTCCTACTTCTCATAGGGCTGTGCAGATTAATGAGTCAATAGACCTAAAACATCAGAACATATTCTATGGCTAATACAAATCAGTGTTAGTTATTGCTACTGAATCTGTATTAATTGGAAGGGTTGTTTACGGTAGTCTATGAGTTTGTCAATCTCACATGCCTCGGCTATAGAATTAAAAAGTAGTACTAAAGCTGGGAGTTAGTCCATTCACAGAAGCAATAAGTAGTTTCAAAATTTTTTTTAATCTACTTGTTATTTTGAAATATTTACATGGACTTTTTAAAAATCAATAAGTTTTGCTTTTTCTACTAGGAAGAGGCTTTCTCTTTAATTCATGGCATTCAGAATTTGGAGAAAGTGATTAAAAATTTAGAGAGGAAATTTAAGTACTTGAGGTCTTCTGGATTGTGCTATGAGAAAAAAATTAAAATTGACTTGTAGTCTTTCCCAGTTTTTACCCATTTCTAAGACTTCCTGTTTTCTAGCTTCTTCTGAGTGAAATAATCTTTCATGTTTCTTAAAATCATTGTTAGAAGACCAATTAAAAAATAGTATGTATCCTAAAGATCATTGAGAAGGATCATATTCTTCTTTTAATAAATTACTTTTTTAAACTGGTCCTGTTACAGTAGAAAGATGTTTAAATGAGAGGACTGACTCCTTATATCATTTGAATAAATTACTCAAAACATTTGTGCCTCTGTTTCTTCAATTATAAAATCAGGGACTCAGACTAGGTGATTTCTAGATACAATTATCTGATCCTATGAGAACGGTTTCCATGAACCTACATTCTAGAGTGCTGTTAAGAAAGAGAAGAAATTTATTGACAACACAAACTTTATCGGAGCCCTGTCATTCAAGAAATAGCTATAGTTGAGAAATATCCACAGCTAACTGTGAAAACTGCCTTGCTCTCAAATATTCTCAGGACTTGCCTCAACCCTTCCTCAGGACTCCTAAAACAGGTCAATGGCTCTCTTGTTTACCTGCTTCTGTAAAATTGTAGGCCTCCTTCTTTTTTTTGAGACGTTTTTATTCATGAACATTCTCCCTTTACAAAAGCCTGAATAAAGCCGCCTCTTGAATTATCAAGTGCATTTTCTCTTTCACAATATTATTAGTCCCAAGGTTAAGTTTCCAAAGTAAGCAGAAGAACAGTAAAGGCATAAATGCACTACAAAGCATCACTCAATGAGAGGCTCACTTATGAAGACACTTACTATAATATAGTTGTTCCATGAACTTTTTAAGTGCAGGAATATTGAGGAGGTTGTGGAAACAATATACAAATGAAGTTCAAACTCCTTTTTCTCAAGGCTTCCGTTACTTTGTAAAAGAGAGGCTTGGGAGGAATTTCCTAAATGAAACTCATTTCCGTTCCCACTACACTTCACAGAGCTTTCATCCAGAGAGTCTTTGTGATCCACAAATCCCAGGGGTTCTTTTGTGCTTGTTGCCTCAGATGGCACGGTGACTGCCCGCCCTGGTGTGAACTGACTGCTCCTCCTGGAGAGGGTAGGTAAGGGCCGAAAAGCACCTTGGCCAGGAAGGGGCGGTTTGTTCAGGGCTGAATTAGGATACAGAGTTGAGTCCTTGGACCTTGTGCTTTTCTCTTGGTGGTACCTGTCAAGTAAAATTTAATGTTAAATATGATATTGAAAAGTTTGAATTTCATAATTTAACAGCAAGAAGAAATCAGTGGTCCCATTGCCCCAGGTCAAGACCCTAAAAAATTAGTACTTTCTTTTTTTTTTTTAAATGCTTGTTAAAGGTAAGGAAGTAATATTACTCGTCCATAAAGAGAATGAAGTCCTGATGCATGTTACAACACGGATGAACCTTGAAAAACATTATGCTGATAAATAAGTCAGTTCCAATAGCACAAACAATATGTGATCCCAGTTACATCAGGGAGTCATGGTGTAAAAAACTAATGGACTGCTAACCTCAAGGTTCAAACCCACCAGCTGCACCTCGGAAACCCTATACAATGTTAATACAAGTTGAGACTGACTCTAAGGCTTAACAACAGTTACATGAAATAAGCAAATGTGTACAGACAGCTTAATAGTGGTTACAGGAGAGGAAAGGAAGGGAAAAGGGGAAATCTTTGCTTAGAGTAGGTACACATGCTTAGAAATCTTTGCTTAGCGTACTCCCCTCTTTCAGTTACACAAATTCTACAATTACAGTTGTGAAAACCGCAACTAATCCTTATAACAATTATTCACAATCAAATCATGAAATCCTATCACCATCATACTCCATCCCCTTTCACCAAATCCATCTGGAAAAGAGGAAAATTATTTAGTGGCGATTCTACCTAACTCCCTCATTCTGAAACTAAGCATATTCATGAATGCTTATAAGCCAGCCACTTTGTGCCTTTATATTCCATTTTTGGTAGTCAATGCCTAGATTGCTTGTCCCTATCAACCAGTGCACTGAAGAAACAGGTTTGATCCTTGATATGAAGAATCCTATTTTCGTTGAAATTTTGAGCAACTGCATCCATAAGCAAAGATCCAGTTCATCAAATTGTAGCAATTTATGCTTGCTCACAGTATCAAATTTCTTTACCTTCATCACGTCCAATGCAGACCCTGCTCTCTGGGAGTTTGGAGCCACATCAGTATGAGTTGGAAGCCAGTTGCACAGTTTAGTGTGCTACTTTCATTTCTGGATTCAGGTGGACTTGGCTCCAGACCTACAAATCCTGCAGAGCCACCAGGCCAGCATTTAACCAGGCACACTGCCCCCAACTTCTCTGAAACCAGCTCCATCAAGGGTCCCCACAAACAACTTCCAGATTGAGTGCCCAGAACATAGATGACAACGAGGCCAATAAGAACTCCAACTTGGGCCAGGACTTTGCTGTCACATCCCTTTGACAACCACCTCATGAGCTTTTTGAATTGCAGGAGCAGCCCGGAGATTTCTCCCCTCTGGGTTGAACAACTGCACTGTTTGTTTCTACAAATACGAAAACCCCACAATGCTCTGGAAACAGACAATTTTAGTTCACATGAAGAAACAAGAGAAAATGCCTCAAATAAATGACCAAGATGCAGAGCCAGAAAATGATTCTGAAGAAGAAAAAGTTGTGAAACTAACTGAAAAAGAATTTAAGAAAATGATTATTAGGTACCTTCAAAGGATGGATAGAAAGCTTGAGGAAAACAATGAGAGCACAATAAAATTTTTAGAAGAATTCAGGAAAATACTACAAGAGCAAACAAGATAAAATAAATGCAAATTTTGAAACAATACAAAACCTGCAATTAGAAAACCAGAAGATCCATTCAGAAATGGACAATGCATTAAAAGGGCAAAGGAGTATATGTGGAGCAATGGAAGCCCAAATTAGTGATCTGGAAGATAAATCTCTTGATACTAGTATGCTAGAAGAACAATAAAAAAGGAATTAAAAAATCTGAAGAAAAGCCTATTAGTTATGTGGGACACCATGAAGAGGAACATTTTATGGGTGATCAGAATTCCAGAAGAGAAAGAGACAAGCACAGAGAAAATTGATGAAGGGTTATTGGAAGAAAATCCCTAACATTATGAAAGACAAGAAGATAAGTATATAAGAAGCTTAATGAACAACAAACAGGATAGATGCCAAAAGAAAATTGCCAAGACATGTCATAACTAAACTTTCCAATATCAAAGACAAGGAAAGAATCCTGGAAGAAGCTCGGGAAAAATGAAAAGTTACCTACCAAGGAAAGCCAATTAAACTAAGTTCTAATTTCTCAACAGAAACCATGCATGCCAGAAGGCAATGGGATAACATATACAAGATTCTGAAAGAAAAAAATTGCAAACCAAGAATTATATACCCAGCAAAGCTGTCCTTCAAATACAACAGTGAAATTAGGACATTTTCTGATACACATAAATTAAAGACCAGAACAACTTTACAAGAATGCTAAAGGGTGTTCTTTGAACTAAGAACTAACAACAGCAGACAACAACCTGGTATTACCACACATGACAACACCACCAGAAATCAAGTCAGATATTTAAATTTAAATAAAGTAAATAACTATAGTATTTAAATAAATTAAATAAAGTATTTAAAGTAAAATAAACTTACAAGACTGAACCAGCGATATCAATGTATAATGAAATCAACTACAAAGACAAAGAGAGAATAGTGTATATATAGAACTTCCAAATGGCAAGGAAGTCAAGTTGATTTCAAGATAAAACAGACTGTGCTTAAAACACTTAAAGGGGAAAAAATTAATAAATTAAAGGGTAACTGCAAAGAATTTACACCTGCACATCAAAATAAATAGAGGAAAATCAGAAAGATTTAGTAAGCATTAACACAACAGAAATGAAAAGAAAACCTACAAAATAAAATGAATTCAGCATAGAAAATTATGTGGAATAAAGAATCCAGTAGGCCCCACACACACACAAAAACAGAAAAATAACAACAAACAATTCATATCTATTGATAATCACACTGAATGTAAACAGATTAAATGTACTAGTCAAGAGACAAGGAGCAGAATGATTAATAAAACAAGATCCTTCAATATGCTGTCTACAAGAGACATATCAAAAAGCTAGAGACAGCCTAAATGTCCATCAACAGAAAAATGGTCAAACAAACTTTGGTACGTACACACAATGGGCTATTACAAAATGTTGAAGAATGAATCTGTGAAATATCTCACATGGTTGAATATGCAGGACATTATGCTGAGTGATGTTGTTGTTGTTGTTAAGTGCCTTAGAGTCAACTCCAACCCATAGCAACCCTGTATAGGGTTTCCAAGGAGCAGCTGGTGAGCTGCTTGCAGTTCAAACAAACCTTTGCAGTGGGGCGCATTTACCCACAGTGTCATACCAGGACTCCCTGAGTGATATTAGTCAATCACAAAAGGACAAACATTGTATGAGACCAATGTAAAAAGTTTTTTAAAAAAATGTTTTATTGATGAAAGAAACAATCTATAATGGTTACAAGGGTGAGGGAGGGAAAATTATTCATGGGCTAGAGGGTAGACAAGGAGCTCTGGTAGCGTAGAGGTTACAAATCAGGCTGCGAACTGCAAGGTCAGCAATTCGAAACTACCAGCTGCTCC